GAGAGAGAGAGAGAGAGAGAGAGGGAGTCCAGCCGCGTCCACTCTCGCTAAATCTCACTGGAACTTGGCGAAAATGAAGAGAAATATTAGGGCTGTAAGCTGGTGAAAAGGTTGCCGGGGATTCGATTCGCTGCAGTCATTTCTCCGATTCGCGTTCGAAGCGAGTCTAAGGGGAACGGATATAATCATCGTTACGAAAAGGGGCACTAAAGAAGATTTTCGAGGGTAGATTTTTGACAGGACGATACGGACGCAGGATGATTCGTCAACACTCGGAGTCATCGTGGCCGCGTATTCTTTGAAAAAAAGGTTGGTTTTCCGACGGTTCGCAATAACGATCGTGGATATTATAGTGCGCGCATGCACGAAGTAAAGCGAGAAAGCAAACGAGAAAGTGATCGAGAGTGAACGAGAGAAAAGGTGAGAGGAGCAGGGAGTGTCGTGGGAGTAGTGGGGAAAGGAGCAAAAAAGGAGAAGATTATAAGGGTGATGTAAAGGGTCAGGGTGAGGGGATGAAGAGGAAGTGTGCACTGGGGGAACACAGTACATAGCCGATTCAAGAGAGGAGGCGGCCGTGGCGGTGAAACGGGAGAAACATCAGGAATACGAGCAGGAATACGAGCAGGAATACGAGCAGGAATACGAGCAGGAATAGGGGAAGGAATACCACCAGGAATACCACCAGGACCAGCGCCACGAGCAGAACCAGTAATGAGCGACGAGTGTCGAACCAGTGGGAAAGGGGTGGGAACGAGACCATTTACTCCGACAAGTAGATTTGTCGTTGAAATTATTTCGTTTCTCGACACACCCATCCCAATCAATGAAACCGAGATTCTACGCGCTTTCCATTCAACCGTTAGGAAACTTTTCCAAAGTAGTCCTTTTCGTAAAATCGATTGCTTCGATTTCCAAATTTTCTACAAATTTCTCTGGTTCTCGATCGAGAGTATTTTTCAAACGAAAGCCTAAAAGGAAACGTCTAGAACTCGAGTCGGGTAGGAATGCATACGGTGCTGTAAAAGTGGACGTCGTTGAGAAAAAAGCAAGCAACGATCGCGTAGAAAATCGGATATGCCGTCGATTCGTTGATCGACCAAATTGTTTGCAACATCGATCGTCGTATTATTGTCGTTCGTCCTACGAAATGTTTGTCCGCTTTCCTAACGCACGTTAAAATGATTATCGGTCTTCCTGGATGACGCAGGCCAGCGAAGAAGGAAACGTCAGGTTGGTTAATCTAATCGGAAGCGAGGGAACGCGACGAACGTCGATTCAACTTTCAACGCATCGTCAACGAAGATCGCTTTACGCTATTTCTATAATTTTTCTTCGCGTCGCGAATAAAGTAAATCAATTTCGCGGAAAAACTCTGAATAATTTTGTTCGTGCGCACAATTTGTTCCCATTTGTTCGATCGCTTTACGCTTCCGCATATTTTGTCGCTTGAAATGTCTTTCTACTTCTAAACGAGGAAAATATCTTGTCGTTTGTAGAGATTAAAATGAAAAGGTTTATTCCAGCCTTACTTTCAAGTTGTTGGCGACGCGACGCGACGCGACGCGACGCGACGCGACGCGACGGTAACGCACTGTACTGTGCATACACTATTGTACGATCGATCTACTTATTTACGTTGCCCCATGACCGATGCGAGGACGATTCTCTGCAAAGTAAAAGGAATATTCGTTGTACGTTGACTCAGCGATGACGAAACTCGATGTAGATCATGACGCGCGACAAACTGTAGGAACCATTTGCTATAAAAATGTTCGAGTGAAAAAGAACTTGTCGGAATGAGGGGATAAAGAAAGAATAGGAATGGCGGCAATTAAAATATTCGGAATTGGCCGTTCAGATGAGTTTTTGGACGTTGCGTGTTTCGGCATATACGAGAGGAACACGCTTCGCTCGACGAGAAACCGTAGAAGCAATTTCGAAAATTATTCGATCGTTCGTAGAGAAGAAAGTAGACGCATCGACGCATCATCGATCCGCGTGAACACGTATGCCTTGTACGTCGCACGTTGCACGTTGGCGGTTCACGTATGCCTACAAACACGCGCACGTGCATATATGGGGTTAAACTCTAAACTGGGGTTGAAAGAAAGATACAGAGTATCGAAAATTGCCCGTTCCAGTTCCACCTTATCGACGCACCACCTGAAAGTCATTTCCATATCCGGGTTTGAAAGTATGCGCGTGGAAAAGCTTGTTCCGCAGCTGTATACGGGCGGTCGAGGAACACGTACGAACTCGTCGCGATTCGAGTAATTTGATCCGTCGAAACGATGTCGCGTAACGGGTAACGTTTCTGTGTTCGCTGGGTTCGTTGTATTTTCGATGTATTTTCCACGTATTTCCTGGTTGGTTCAGGTATCAGGAACGGCAACGGACTCTTGACCAGATCAGACCTCCTCGGGGGAGGTCTTAGGGGAGCAGAATGATAGATCCTAGCTCGTCGGAAGAGAGCGACGAAGAGAAGAAGGAGCCCAAGGATGTCGGTGTCGCGGGCGGAGGTGGCAGCGGCGGCGTTCGCGGCGGAAGCGGCAGCTCGTACGGTTCTCGGCGACAAATCGGCCCGGGCGGAAGCCTCGGAGGCGCGAGCGGTCCGGCCAGCGGAAGCGCGAGCTCCCTGGCCTCGGGGACGGCGTCGCCCGGCGGGTCCAGCCACGGACCCATCGGCACGCCTCGCGGCGGCGCGCAGGACCTCGCGTCCGCTCGGGACGCGTCGAGCCTCGCTGCTGGCAGGAACTCGTTGTCTCCCTCGATGACTGCCGCACAGGACGCGGCCAGCTACTCTCAGAGACCCACCAGTCCCTCGCCTTCGGTCGCCAGCGAGAAGACCGAAGCGAACCTCCAGGTAAGCCTCTCCCCTGTTCGGACATCCTTCCCTTCGTGTTCCGATAACGTTCGATATTCCCAATACGATTTCGGCCTGACAGGACAAGCAAGAGCGCGAAGAAGAGGAGAGGAAGACCAGAATACAGCTGTACGTGTTCGTGTCGAGGTGCATCTCTTATCCGTTCAACGCCAAACAACCATTGGACATGCCTAGGCGACAACTAAAAGTAACCAAGCATCAACTCGAGACGATTTGCTCCCGCTTTCAGGTACACCTGTAACTTGTACCGTTTCTACGTAGCGTAACAAGTATATATATATATATATATATATATATATATATATATATATA